AAAAAAAAAAAAAAAAAAAAAAAAAAAAAAAAAAAAAAAAAAAAAAAAAAAAAACTAAAAATTTGTTTTGTTTTGTTTTGTCAGAAGAGTTTGATCTTCATTTGTTAAATGAGAGGCCAAGAAAAATAGTGAACATCCAGAAAAAACATTTCACAAATGAGAACAAAATGATATCATCATCTTCAAAACCATTGACCTATTCAAAGAATGAATCAAAGTAAACGCAGCTGAATTCAGAACTCCCAAAAGATATAATCCAAATCAAACAACACAGAGAAAGAAAATGAAGAACAATGATGATTCATAAAAGAAGTCACCACCAGCCATAAAGCATCTGGGTGTACTTACCCTTGAGCCATCTGAAGCTGTTCCTGAAGGACCCCTTCATCTTGCCTTCAACAGAGTACATCTTGTAACTCGCAACCCTTTTCTTCCTCTGAAACTCAGGGTCTCCAAATCTCCATGGCTTTGATGATGAACAAGATGAAGAAGAAGTAGACCCAGAAGTTCTTTTACCTTTCTTACCTGAAATCTGGGTTTGTGGATAGGAAGGGGGAGGAGGCCTTGGAGGGCCATAATAGCTTTCAATCTCCATGCATGACCTTCCATCCATGGAGGACTTTTTTGGCTGTGATTTTGGAGGAGGAAGATGAAGAATGGGCGTGATGAAAACGTGGGAGCAACGAGGAACAAGAAAAAGGGATGGTGGGTGGGTTGCCCTTTCTATCACAAACTTTTATAATAAAGTCCTCTTTCTTTTCTCCCAACCCACAAAATTACCTTCCGATTCTAAGTATTTGAAAAAAATTCAAGTTTCAAAACTACGGTTGGAGTTGAAAAAGGCGGCTCTCCTAAAACGCAAGGGAACCAGAGTTGTTACGGTAGGAAAGAAAAATGACTAAAAGAAACTAACGATTCTCCCTTATTAAACAACCTATATTCTCCAGTTAGAACGTCGACAAAAAGTCAATACATCCAAATGACAATCTATCAGACTCAATTCACTCACGTCCGAATGACAACAAAGACTAATTCAATCAAATAGTCATTCAAAGTATTTGAAAAAACAGAACGGGACAGAAACTAATATACGAGTTCGGAGTTGAAAAAGGCAGCTCTCCTAGAATGGTAAAAAAGTAGGGAACAACCGTTGTCACAATAGGAAAAAGAAATAACTAAAAGAAACCAACGACTCTCTCTTCTTAAACAACCTATATCGTCCGGTTAGAACGTTGACAAAAGTCAACGTGCCCAAATGACAATCTTTCGAAGTCAACTCACTCACTCACTGAGTTATCCTATTCAGATATACAAACTCAAATTTCTATAAGTATTTCACTTTTGTGCCTCCCAAGGAGCTTGAAGAGGCAAGGAAAATGAAAGAGAATGCTATGAAAGCCTGAGTTATCAGCTGAAGACATGATCAATAGCACTGACCCAACCCAACAACAACCAGACATGTTTAAAAACTAATATCAGAAATGAACAAGAACACAGATACCATGTTTCTGTTCCATCGAAATCAAAGCCACACAATTTGTTTATCTTATCTTTCACGCTTGATTTGTGGATTGTTTTCATCTATTTCTTAAGAAGAAAAAAGGACCCACTGATGCATGTTTCCAGCTTAAATTTCCTTTATCACCAACTAAGGCTGAACCTATCGACAAACTGTATAGTAATAAAATAATTTCAACCCCACCAATAATTCAGAAACATGGCTGAAACAAGTCATGATTTATAATGCATAATTAAATCCTCATCATTTTGTATAATATCATTCCTCTCAGACAATCACCAGACATAAATTCAAACCAAGAATACAAAGTAACATCAGCTACCCAGTTGTGTAATGACTGCTGCCTGCTTGGACTCCAAATACAGAATCAAAATTGTGACAAAACATGCAAAATTGTATTCTTTCTCACTGGGGAGTGCCACAAATAATGCCCAAATCTTCATTCGAGATCTACATCGGTTGGAGAGGAGAATGAAACATTCTTATAAGGTGTGAAAAATGCATTTTAAAACTGTGAGACTGTGAGGCTGACGACTATACGTAATGGGCAAAAGCGGACAATATGGGCTAGCAGTGGACTTGGGTTGTTACAAATGGTATCAAAGCTAGACACCGGACAGTGTGCCAGTAAAGACGCTGGCCCCAAAGGAGGTGGATTGTGAAATCTCGCACTAGTTGAAGAGGAGAACAAGATAATCCTTATAAGAGTGTAGAAACCTCTCCCAAGCAGACATGTTTTAAAACTTTGAGGGGAAGTTCGAAAGGGCGTTGGGCTTAGGCCATTACAAATGGTATTAGAGCTAGACACCGAGCAATGTGTCAACGAGGACTCTGGCCCCTAAGGAAGTGGATTGTGAGATCCCACGTTGGTTGGAGAGGTGAACGAATGAATCCTTATAAGGGTGTGGAAACCTCTCCCTAACAGCAGCATTTTAAAACTTTGAGGGGAAGCTCCGAGAGAAAACTCAAAGAGAACAATATTGCTAGCGGTGGGCTTGGGTTGTTAAGTTCACTGAGCCCCCCTAACAAGCAACTACCAAAAGAAATAGGTGAAATAAAACAGAGACGAAATCAAAGCCAATTTTTACCTAGCTTAATCAGAAGTGCATCAAATAAGGTCAGCTCCTCAACCACGATAGTGTAGAACTTTTGGATGCCATACAGCATCCTTTCATCCTCTGTAGTGACGAAATTGATGCACCAAGATAATCACCTAATGCACGTATAAACCTAGTTTCATGGTCTTTAAACATATTACAGAACACATTTTGAAAAATGGTTCAAATCGGACTTCAGTTTTCCTTCAATCCATTGTTTTTAAATGACCTATCAAACAAACCCTAAACATCCAGATAACGAATTTGATTCACTTAAGTTTTGTAACTCAACATAAGAACATGGCGCTGCACGATATAAACACAACCAGTTCAAATCAAAACAGATATAGAAACATCGATCTTAATTCTAAAATGCTATCGATCACGGCCAGCTCTACACTCACCAAACTAAATGGAAATTCAAGTAAATAACGCATAATAGCCGATCGGAGAGAAGCAAATGGGACGAGCCATGACAAGAAATGCAAGCATGTTCACATACAAGTAAAGGGGCGATAGAAAACTCAAACGGAAACCAAAAGAATCATACAAAACCTGAAAGCGAGAGCGAGAAATCAAAAGACCAAAACAACCGATCGATCTACAGCTTATGGATTTATTAATACCAGCTACAAATAATTTGATCGAAATTGAGTTTGTGTAAATTGGATAACTAAATATTTAATCTTTCCGTATAAATTCGTTAATAAAGAAGATTAACATTTTAACATGATGATCCTACGTGACTCGATTTTAATTATAAGTGAGTTATGAACTCGTGCCTATAAAAGTTTATCCTTTGATTTGCATGAAAGTGGAGTATATATTACACGAGAATAATAAATGAAGTGTCTAGCTGAAATTTTGGGTTGGTTGAATTGATGGCCGTACCAACCCAAATATTAACCCAACCCAAAAATTAGGTTGGACGGGATTGTGTTGTCGATTTTTTTTTTTTTAAATATACTTACTCACAATATATGTTACATTAGTAATCTTAATTTTTTTTTTTTTAAAAAAAGTAGGGTTATATTGGATTATAACCCTATTTTCGAGTTGGTCGGGTAAAAAACGTTAACCTGCGAACTGAACTAAATTTTCAATTTTTTAAAAATACCACCGACTCATTCAAAAAAATATAACCCCATCTAATATTTATGGCTTGAATTTGGTACTTTAGATTGGTCGAGCTATCACGTCATATGAGCACCTCTAATCTTCAATAAGTGATTACAATTACTTAAATTCATTCATTTTAAACCCTTTTACATATTGATGAACTTTTATAAACTACCGAGTAAATTCATGGAACTTATGTAAACACAACTCTACTCCGACTAAATGAGGCAAAAGATTTACCACATCTATTTAAAAAAAAAAATTAAAACTAAAATTTTCAAAATGTATACATAGAAGTGTTCATACTCCTTGATTTAAGGATGAAAAAAAACATGAAATCTTTACGATTTGCACAAGAAAATTGTAATATTAATAAATCAGCATAAAAATCCAAGCTTTGAAAAAGAATAGTTCCTAAAATTCTACTTCCCATACAAAACACCATGAAAATCAAGCTTCACTTCACCACCACCAAGACACACCAAATGGAAGAGAAACAGAGCCCACAAAAACGCCGGAGAATTCAGAGAACATGAATTCGAAGCGTAGAAGTAGTAATTATAAGCATTGGTATTTCCATGAGGCGCCGCCGTCGTCGGCGGCAGAGGCTCCGGGATCAGCACCGGAGGCGGTGGTGGCAAGCTGAAATAGTATTTGAAAGCGGGAGGCGGTGGGGAATGAGATGAAGCCACCGGCGGTACTGGAGGCGGCGGTGGTGATGGGGTCGGTCGAGGTGGGGATGGGGGTGGGTTGAGTGGGAAGGAAGCCATCGGAGGGGAGTGAGGCACCGGTGGAGGAGATTTGAGGGTCACCGTGGGCGGTGGTGGGGGTGCGCATATGACAGGACAAGTTGAGCATTCGCTGATACAGAGGAGGCTTACTGGAGGCACCACCTCGACGAGACGGTGGTCGTCGGAGGCCATGGCGGGTCCGGCGAGGTGGAAGATGAGAAGAATGAAGAAGAGGGTGGTCGTAGTGGAATGTTCCATGGCAGAAATTCAGGTATGGTTAAGATGAACAAGAAAAGGGAGTTGAAATGGATTGCTTATAAATCAAAAACATTCATAAAAACAATAACTTTTTTTTACTTTATGGAACAATATGAAAGAATCAAATTTAGGAACAAAAAAGGAAAGATTCAGCATCTTTATTCCAAAGATCTATATAATGGCAAAGGAGTTCATCTAAAAGCTGGAAGCTTGAATTGGGTACTAAAAGCATAACATAGAGCTTATACCTTTCTCAGAACATAATCAACCTTTAAGCACTTTAATCCTTTTGTTTATGCTCTGTTTGATCCTTTTCTTCCCGCCATGGGCTGCTCTGTTCCTTCCTGGGAATTCCCTGTTGATTCAATAAGTAATATTCCACACAGCTTCCCTAACAAGAAATAATGAAGTGTGAGATCTCACGTCGGTTGAAGAGGAGAAGGAAGCATTCTTTATAAGGGTGTGAAAACCTCTCCCTAGTAGACTCGTTTTAAAACCTTGAGGGGAAGCTAAGGCTTGAAGGGGGAGGACACGAGACGGTGTGCCAGCAAGGATGCTGGGTAACCTTGGAGAGGGGGTAGACACGAGACGGTGTGCCAGCAATAGAGGGGTCCCACATCAATAAGAAAAAGGAAATAAGTGCAAACGAGAACATTGGGTCCTGAAAGGGGTGGATTGTGAGATCCATTAGAGAGGGGAACAAAACCTTGAGGGAAAGCCCAAAAATGACCATATCGGCTAGAAATAGACTTTTCTAGACTTGAGCCGTTACATGAATGAATGCATTACAATTCCAAATAACTATCTAAACTAAAGCTACTAATTCAGTGGAAGGCAGCAAAAAAACATGACATTAGAAAGAATTCAGAACTAATCCATCAACCAGCCAACTTAAAAGGAAAGAATGAAATTAAAGCAGATGCATAAAAGACCAAACGAGTCATTGATTTAGTATAAACTATATAAGTTTGCGTTACATTCCCGCGGATAATGGCACAATAACATGCAACAAATACAAGTGAATCGACTATGTCGACCTGCATGACTCGATAATAAAGAAACGCTGCTACAAATTTACAATGCTGTTTTTTGTTTAATCCTGGAATGATGTAATCCAAGTTAACTTGAGGAGTCAGCTGCTTTATTCCTGGAGTAATGAGTATTAGCTGTTGATAGGATAAGCTATAATTCTCAACCTGGTCGCAAAGATCGATAAGGATCATACCTCTTCCTAGCATTGATAAGATCTCGAAGAGACGAGTTTCATCGCAGTATTGATCCTTCTGCTTCTTCCACGTCCAAACAAAGAACTCCATAAACTTCATATTCTGCTACCACAGCCCTTCTGTAATCAGTCATGGAATCAAGTAACTTTCCTCCTATGGGTTAGGCAGGCCTCTAACTTCATTCATCAGTATAACTATTTCCCGAATCCTGGTTTTGGAATAAGAACACTGAGCATCATTGAAAATAACAGGTCTAGAAATTTAAACAAGATTTCGCTAAATTATATGTAAGTTGTGGACCTCATTCGATGACTGCGCCCTCAAACTGGAACTCGATGCGGCAGAGCGTGGAAACTGATTCCGACCATCGCGTTTGTCAGAACTCCTCCCGAGATCTCTTAACCTGTTGAGCTCTGGAACTATAACAGTTCCAAGATCTGGTCTGTCTCTCTTCCTCAGTTCAGCGCACTTCAAAGCCAGTTCTGCAAAATGTATAGCCTCCTCCAATGGACAATCTGAAATTGTAGGATCCAGCATCTCATTGAACCGCTCTTTTTCGATAGCCCTTTGAACATGGTGAGCTAGACCCATTGGAGGTTTGGCAGTAATGATTTGAAGTAACATTATTCCAAAAGAGTAAATATCTGATTTTGTTGTTAACTGTCCTGTTTGTTGGTACTCAGGATCGATGTAACAAAACGTGCCAGCTGCTGAAGTCAGATGATATTGGGTGACTTGATCAGCAACCGAAGGAGGGACTAACCGAGCCAGGCCAACATCACTGATTTTGCTCACGTAATTGCGGTCCAAGAGAATGTTGGCTGGTTTAAGGTCCCTATGCACCAGTGGCTCTGGCTTTGCTTGGTGAAGAAAAAGGAGTGCGGTTGCGATTTCAGCAGCTATCTTGAATCGTCGTCTCCAAGAGATTGGAGGAGTATTCCCTCTCCGGAAGAGTCTGTCTTCTAAGCTCCCATTATGCATGTACTCATACACCAAGCAACCATACTCAGGGCATGCCCCAAGAAGGAGCACCATGTTTGGATGTCTAATACAACAGAGGACCTCCACCTGCAAAACCATTTACAAAGGAGACATTGGATGAATCCCTTAACACATTGATTTAATATGAACAATATGATAGTACCTCTTGTTGGAATTGCTTCCGTCCTTGAGCAGCGTCGGGTCTTAAAACTTTAATCGCAACGGCGGTATGATCAAGTTTGCCTCCATAAACAGGACCATATCCACCTTCTCCAATCTTCAATTTTTCAGAGAACATTTCAGTAGATTCCTCTATCTCCTCTATGGTGTATTTTCTATAACGGACGTCGTTCTGTGCTAGAGCATTCAATGCTCGTTTTTTCTCTTCGGTCTCTTTTCTGGCCTTCATTTCAGCCTGTTTTCTTCTCTGGGCTTCTCTTTCGGCTAGCTTTTGCGCTGCCTCCGCTGCTTCAATGGCAGCTTTGCACTTGGCTTTCTCCATCTCCGCAATAGCAAGAGCAGCCTCTTCAGCTAGTCTGACTTCTTCAAACTTACGTGCCTCGTCTTGCTTCCACTGACTAAGTTCTCTTGCCTGAATTTCAAGACAGCGCTTTTTATGCGTTCTTTTCTTCTACTTACAAGAAAGTGAACTCCAAATTTTCCTTCAAGATTGACTTAATTAATGTAACGGTCCAAGCCCACCACTTGCAGATATTGTCCTCTTTGGGCTTTCACTCAAGGTTTTTAAGACAAGTCTGCTAGGGAAAGGTTTCCACACTCTTATAAAGGGTGTTTCGCTCTCCTCCCCAATCGATGTGGGATCTAACAATTCACCCTCCTTCGGGTCCCAACGTTCTCGTTGGCACTCGTTCCTTTCTCCAAGAGATGTGGGACCCCCACCAAATCCACCCCCCTACGGGGCCCAGCGTCCTTGCTGGCACACCACCTCATGTCTACCCCCTTCGGGGAACAGCCTCCTCGCTGGCAAATTGCTCGGTGTCTGGCTCGATACCATTTGTAACGGCTCAAACCCACAGCTAGCAGATATTGTCCTTTTTGGGGTTTCCCTTTCGGGCTTCCCCTCAAGGTTTTTAAAATGCGTCTGCTAGGAAAAGGTTTCCACACCCTTATAAAGGATGTTTCATTCTCCTCCCCAACCGATGTGGGATCTAACAATTAAAGCTTTCTACTTTACTAGCAATGTATTTGCCTGACCATTATCAATAAAGTAGACTTTTATTATATTTACCTTGTTCTTGGCTGAGATTGCCTCTTTGCAGGCTGAGCTATACATATCCATGGTTTGCTTTAATTCCAGCTTCAATCTTTTCATCTCGGCCTCTAGTTCTCGCTTTAGCAAAGACGTTTACAGACGTTAACCAATGCAAAGTAACTACATAACTATTAGAAGCATATAAATTTCAAATGTCAATGTCCCAGGTGCACTTACAGTCGATTGTGCAGAAGCAGAGTCCATTGAACCAACTGAGCTAGAACTAAAATCTAAATTTTGACCAATCGCATCCATTGATCCAAAAGGAATCTGTGCTGTCAACATATGTTCGTCAGAGACCGAATCACGACTAAATGAAGGCCTAGAACCTCGATTTGGAGCCTCAATATTTTCCAATGTTATATTAGCCGGAGAAGTTTTTGGCCTCTCACGAGTCAACGCTTTTGCCGGCTTTGCACCATTCCTTTCATTGAGCATTCTCTCTGTAGCTGCAGTCTTCCAACCTTCCCTTGCTGGTTGCCCTCTATATTTACCAAATAATAATGCGAAGAGATATAACAACTATATAATTCTATCAAAACAGAAGCTAACATGAGTATTAATAGGAAGTTTCTTAGAACACTATATTACTTGGCTCCATTTTCTTGTTCATTGTTGCTGTCTGGTTGATTATTTGGCTGCATTCCAAGCGGTGATGGTTGTCTTGGTGGCATGGCAGTATTCGCCACTGGCCGAAGAGCAGCCCTGGCAGATATTATCTTCCCCTTTGATATTACATATACAGAACAAAAGTCCGGGGCAGTTTTTATTATGCTGGTCGGAATATCAGGACCTTTAAATTTCCTGAGACACCCCAATCATTAGAAACCTAAGTTACTCAATACATGTGTGTGTGTGTGAGAGAGAGCAAACAAAAAGAGAGACCTTGCTATAGCGCTCCTTGTTGAAGCTCCAACTACAAAATTGTTGATGCAATTCTTGTGAACGTAGTCGACGAGTGCTTTGGGAGTATCGGTATCGTCAAGAACAACCTCCTTCAGCTGAACCTGAATTCCATAAGCAAATTTCCCGATGTAAATTTTAATTTCTCAACATTACTCAATCACTTAGCAAGCATTTTTCTAACATAAACCATCTAAACAATCCAACACCAGCAACTTATAATTCTTTTTTCACAAGACTGGCAACCCATAACTCCCATCCTTCACGAACAAAACAATACCAAAGTTCATCCTGCTCTTTGTGGCAATCACAAGAATTTAAGGCCATGATTCAATCATTTCCAATACAAATCCTAAAAGCACTTCTAACAACTTCCATACAACAGCAAACCCAACAAGTTTCAATCAGACATATCCACAAACACCTAGAGTGCATAAAACAAACGTCAAGAATTTGCAACATATAATTAAAAAGATGTACCCCTTTACGCGCACAATATCCACGATAGGGAACAAACAGCTGCTGCGCATCAATTTCGCCATTTTCAGAATCGCTTGCGCCCTCTAAGAAGGGGGGAAAAACCCACAAAAACAAAAACAATCAGAAATTAGACCAACGAGGAAACAATGCAAATGAGAATGATAGACCAAATAAAAAACAAGGATAGAGGGTACCTACGATGTTGATTGGTTTTATGCCTAACGTGGATGAGAATGATAAGCGGGTTGCTTATGACGAGATGATCAATAGCCCACTGTACGGCGTGTTGGCTATTCTTATCCTTGTCAATGGCGACGGCCGTGGTGTTCAAGGGAAACCCATCATCAGGTTGATGCGTGGAGGGAGGCATTTTGCAAAGCCGCTCAGGATCTTGGTGCCGCAGCCGCTTGAATGTAACCCAATATTTTGGTTTGAGAGAGCGGTGGGGTGGGGGAAGGAGGAGCAGCACGAAGGTAGTAAGCTAAGGAGAAGATAACAAACATAACAGACAAATGAAGAAAGGCGATTCTCCGCCATTGGCTTGATTTAGGCAAATTTGACCTGGCCATGACCAGATTTTGGAAAGCCATGGCCGTGTGGGTTACGATCATTGTCATCTTTGTTTTCCCCCAAATTTTGTTGGCGACAGGACCGCCTGCGGTGTGGATTCAGGATTTCATCACAAATTTTCCCTCTTCTCTCTTCTGGCCTTCAAAATATTTCTCATCAATCCTTATAATAAGGTTTGAAATGGTTTAAATATATAGTTTTCGTTATGTACCATTTCAACTTTTATAAATATTTATTAGTTTAAACTATGTACAACCAACCATCTACTAACCGGAATGGAAGAATTTACTATGTATCCAACCTCTTCCATTTTTCTACTAACTCTATCTAATGGTCCGTATTAATTTCTATTTTTTTGCTCCTCTTTTTCTCTATTTAAGCTCGTCAATTTTCGTATATTTAAAAACACATCCCTTCCATGATTCTTCCGACTTTAATTTTCTAAAACCTCTATTTTTGCGTTATACGAGTTTTCAATTTTATTTTTCTTATCTTATTCTTGACAGAGATTCTTTATGATATTGTGAAAAAATAGTTGTGAGTGAAATTAAGAATGAGAGTTGTGGTGTTCCTATAAAATTTATATACTTGTACTAGTTTGATCGTGCGTGTGGAAATGATTGAATTTGCTCTTGAACTCATAAAAAAAAGCAATGTAGTGGTTAGGCTCTGATTCGTGGAAAGAGGTGAAATGTTCAAATCACCATAAAACTATGGTGTGATATTTTCTAACTCTTTCCTATTTAATTTCAAAATTATTATTGTTATTTATTACATGTTTAATTATTTTGTTGTATTAATTATCATTTTCTACTCATGTTTAACAGTATCATAATTATAAAAATTAAGCACGCTTAAATACTTCTATTGTTAAAACCCTATTCACCCTCTAGGGTTGACATACTGATCCAACAATATTAACGTCAAAAGTGTCGATGAGTCATACAATGAAATTGTGAGATAAAAAATAATCTTGTAAGAAGGAAGGGAAAACTAAGGAATTGTGAACCGAGTTTACGAGGCAAATGAGAGAAGTTGTAAGATCAAGAGGGAAAGGAACGAATAAAGCAGTGAGATAAAACTTGTGTCACGCTATATCGTTTAACGGGAAGAAGATATTCATCAAAACCTAAACTTTTGATCAAGTCACTTCGTAGTCCCACCGTAGTTTCTGACCACCTGTCTCATCTAAAGATCTAAGCGAGTCTTACCCATTAAAGAATATGGATGGTCTCGAACGCTATCTGTTGAGAATCTTTTCTTTCCTCTCTCTTGTAACCTCGGTAAAACTGCTATTTTCCTCTCCCTCGTCAAATTTCTCGTTCTTTTAAAAAATTATTTCTAATAAAATGTAATTTTGGTTTATACCAATGGAATAATTGACATTAAATTTTTTTAAAAAATAAGAAATTAAATTAAATTAAAGGTTGATATTTTTCTTTATTAGGTGTAAAGTTGTTACCTAAGGTAAATTTAAATTAAAAACACAAATTAATTAAATAATTAATTAATTTTTACTTTTTCAAAATTTATATTCAATTTTCTCATTAAAACAATCTGATTTATTTTTTAAAATTATTAATCAGACTTTCATTTTCTAATCATTGATATTTATGTCACATCACATGAAATAATATATAGTTTATTATTAAATTAATTGATTGAGTTGACTAATGAACAAATCATAATCTTTTGTAAAAGCAAACAAGATTACCCATTTCTAATTTTATATTTAATGGACTATTTATTTTATTTATTGTGATCTTATCTTTAATTTTTTTTATTATTATAAAAATACATAAATATGACGGAAGCTAACAAATAAAGTAAGGATTTACGTTTTTATTAAAATAAAATAAATATATATAACTAGTAATTAAAAATTAAAAATTTAAATTTAAATAAAAAAAAAAATTAAATCTTTATTGCATTTATTTCTACCAGTTATTTTGAAATTTTTTAAATTAATATGTACTTTTTATAATTAATTTTTTTTTGACAAGTTTAGAAATTAATTTTTATAAATATCTATTTCAAAAAACTATCTTGGAATAAAAAACGCGTAAATTTTATTATTTTTATAAGATAAAATACATTTTTGGTCTCTACAGTTTCAAATTGTTCGATGTTGAGTTAGAAATTATACATCTCACACACGCTTAATATGAAAAATGCTAAAAAATATCGGTGAACGCTTTAAAAATATAAAGATATGATACCGTGTTAGAAACCACAAACCTCTATAATGATATAATATTGTCCACTTTGAATATAAGTGCTAATGATTTTACTTTTTGTTTCCTCAAAATATTTGGTACTAGTGGAGATAGTATTTTTTACTTACGATTTTGATTTATATAATTATTAATTTTAATATTTAAGAGTATAAATTGATTTTTACTCGAGTTTCTAATTGATGTTTGAAAAATTAGAAAAAAAACACTATTTTTTGTAATTTTGAAAATATTTATTAAAAGTGAGGAGTGAGTCAAAGTAATATACATGTGAGTTTAATGTCTTCCTTATATTGTGGAAGACAAGTAATACTCTCTCAAGATGTTCATTCGAGATAACCCAAACTATCCAACCAAATCACGATTGGGCTAAGTGATTGTTTTTTTTTTTGTTTCTTCCGTCGAGGTTGGGTTGAATTTTTTGAAAATAAAAAAAATTCGATCAATTTACGAGTTGACATTTTTTTGTCGGGTCAACCCAACAATATCGAGAATAGGATTGTAATCCAATCCAACCTTATCCTATTTTCAAATATGAAAATTAAGAATTTTCAAGATTTATAATTGATGTTAGCACTCTTTTGAGTTTTATAAAATTTTAATTATTAATATTAAATAATAATTTAAAAAAAAACAACCGTAGAATAAGGTTAGGTTGAGAATTCTAGTTAGCTTATTTGAGTCACGGATATTAATTTAAAAGATTGTCTCACGTAGACTCTTAATATATATATATATATATATATATATATATATATATATATTTATGATTTGTTTATGGGCGGGAATAAATTTTGAGCAATAAATATAGGTAGACTTGTTCATCCTTTGGTAGCGAGTGATTGGAAGACGAATTAACAGAAGAGCCTTTTTGATTTGATTGGAGCGTTAGAACAGAAGGATTTGAGAAATCATCATCATCATCATCATGGATTGGTAGGTTTTCATCCACTCGACACGTGTTCTATTCGTTCATCTTGAAAAAAGTTGGTATTTCTTTCAATTTTTTTCAATTTTTTTTCCTCGTATTTGTGTACTTCTCTGCAGCCTTTCCAATTTTTTTTTTTTTTTTAATCTTTTTCTTTTCTGGGTCTTCTAATTTCCTCTTTGTTTAAGTGGTAAGCAACCCTTCATTTCTCGTTTCTTCATTTTGATTCCCTTCTTCTCTCTCTACTCTCTCTCTCTCTACCCCCCTTTTTGATCTCTCTGGATTTGCGATGTTGAAGAGGAGAAAAAGAAGGCATTAGCAGGATTGAAGTAGCGAGACAGCGACAGGTTAGATAATGAACTCTTCTTCAACCTTGTTCTTTGTTTAATCTTTTTTGTTTGAATTTCGTAGTAGAGGTCACGATGGATTGCCTCTGATTTGGGGAAACTCTGCCAATTTTGTTAAAAGGGTTTCTATCTTTTCTAGGGTTTTCCTCTGATTCTTGAGATTTCGTCTTTCTGGGCTGTTTCTCGTGATTTTTTTTACCCTTTTTCTATGTCTTTCTTGTGCTTACAGATAAAGTTTCTTCTGATTGATACCTGTTTGGGGTTGAACGGATAGGAATTTCCAGAGAGGGAAATCGATGAAACTCTAAGTTCAAATTTCTTTTCAAAATTTGTTTTCTGATTCAGTGTAGTTGACCAGATCTGAATGTTCGTTTCTTTTTGGTATTATCATGTTTCTTATGGATGGAAAATGGTTTGTTCAACCCCAACTTTTACGTTCTAAGATCATTCTTAATGACAGAAAAAGGCGATGGATTAGTTGAAATATGACAATTGTAGAAGGGTTAGGGGGTGTTTTTTCTCATTGTTTAGGTAGAGAGCTTGATGGAGGAAATGTTCCGGGCAGTCGTCGTGCCATTTAGAGTAGGTAATCCCGACATGGCAACTCCCATGGATATCACTAGACTCACTGCTGGTTTGTTATCTGATTCTGTGGCTAAGGCTTCTGACCACTTGACTGAAGTAGGTTCTGATGATTGTAAGAGTTCTAATGGGGAGGAAGAGGTTTCGGTTATGAACGATGACAAGTGCGAAGGAGTTTCGTTGTCAGTCGTGTTGTCTCAAAATAATAGCAATTGGGTTGCAGCTGATGAGACGATATCCCATGTAAGTGAGGAAGATGATTCTTTCTCTTTAGAGGGTATATATGATAGCTCGTGTTCGCATTCGGTAGTTAGTGAGACTAGCAGCATTTGTGGTGATGACTTTTTAGGTTCTGAGGTGTCTTATTTTGAAGCATTTGGTTCCAAGGATGTTAGCAGTGTCGAGATTGCAGCTACAGCCAATGTTGAAAGTCTCGAGACCCCGATTGCAAGTTCTTCTTCTGCAGGAGTTAGCCTTGAAGAAGATATTGGAGATGGGTTAGGCATCGATGCATGTAACATGGTTCTCCAGCTTCCTCTTGAGAAAAGAGCAAACGAACCGGTTGGTCGAAGTGTTTTTGAGGTCGATTGTGTTCCTCTTTGGGGATTTATGTCCGTTTGTGGAAGAAGACCTGAAATGGAAGATGCAGCCACAGCTGTACCGAGGTTTTCAGAACTTCCTGTCCAAATGCTTATTGGCGACCGAGTTCTTGATGGCTCGAGCAAGGCTATAGCTCACCAAACTGTTCATTTTTTTGGAGTTTATGATGGTCATGGTGGCTCTCAGGTTTGCATACAATTTGAATGTGCTTCTTGTTTAATGAGCCACACTCTGTTCGTTTAACTCGAATCTCTTAATATATAGGTTGCGGATTTTTGTCATGAACGTATGCATTTGGCTTTGTCTGAGGAGATAGAACTTGCTAAGCAAGACATAGCTGCTGGCAATATGAAGGATAGTTGCCAAGAGCTATGGAGAAAGGCATTCACCAAATGTTTTCTAAAAGTTGATGCTGAAATTGGAGGGAAACCTGGCGCTGAGCCTGTTGCACCCGAAACTGTAGGATCCACTGCTGTTGTTGCAATCATCTGTGCCTCTCACATTATTGTTGCAAACTGTGGCGACTCGAGAGCAGTTCTTTGTCGTGGGAAGGAGCCTATAGCGTTGTCTGTGGATCACAAAGTACGTTTGCATTTGCGGTTTCGTTAGTGAACTTGTCATATCTTCATTGATTCTAATCACTTTGTTGCCTCTCAGCCAAACAGAGAAGATGAATATGACAGGATTGAAGCTGCTGGAGGAAAGGTCATACAGTGGAACGGGTACCGTGTTTTTGGTGTTCTTGCAATGTCGAGATCCATCGGTACGTCTTATCCTACACGAAACTTCAAGTCTCTGTGCTTGTCACTTCAAAGATATGATATCTATGACAATCTTTTGCTGCTTCGCCAAAGTAGTCCCATAGTCACTGAAACATAAACATACCCATGGGACTTAGAAGAAGAGTGTTCCAATGGTTCCAAGTCAAAGCATCTTTCCTTCAGACTTCTCATTCTTGAGATAGAGATATTGATATTGTTCTTTTTTGCTTTCTTTCTAGGCTTCCTCTCAAGGTTTTAAAACGCGTCTATTAGGGAGAGGTTTCTACGCCCTTATATGGAATGTTTTGTTCCCCTTTCTAGCCAATGTGGGATCTCACAATCCACCCCCCTTGGGGGCCCAACGTCCTTATTGGCACACCGCTCGGTATTTGGCTCTGATACCATTTGTAACAGCCTAAACCCACCGCTAGCAAATATTTTTCTCTTTGGGCTTTCCTTTCCGGGCTTTCCCTCAAGGTTTTGAAATGCATCCACTAGGGATAGGTTTTCACGTCCTTATAAGAAATGTTTCGTTCCCCTCTCCAACTGATGTGAGATCTTTATGGTCTAGGAGAGACCTCTATTGGAATATGAGGAGGGTTTAAAGTTATTAAGGTCTCAACTTGTAGGCTAGGACCCAAGATTCCCGGGAATATTTCCAAATGCCCCAAGCACTTCCCTTCCCCTGGAGTTCACTTTCTTTTGATTCTATTATAAATTGTCTTTCTTTCGTACTTGCAGCATGTTTAGATTTTTCTCAGTTAAGATAGGTAAAGTGAAAGACTCTTTCGGGTGTCAGACCTAGTCTTGTGAGTTGAAATAGAAAACAACAAATTTTTTGGGAAGGTCTGGATCTCCACGGGAATCTGAACTTGGCGTCTTGGCTTCCTCCTTTGATCCGTCTTGCAAGTGTAGGGTAACCCTGGCCAGATCTACTTTCTCGACTGTGTGCTTACCACCTAATCCTTCCCCGATGGAAATAAGCTCACCATTATGTTGAGACTTTCTATTATGGTCGTTGGTGCGCTGTTTACTTGCACGGTTTCCAGTTAGAATTGCGTCTCCAGTGTCATGTTATATCATATCTAAAGAATTTCAACTTTCCAAACTGCTGAGTTGTGCTGTGTGATGTCTATAGATAAACAGTAGCATTAAGTGCATTATGTGGACATAACTCAGATTATGGTGGCAGTCATTTTCTATTGCTTGGAATTCTGAAGTAAAAGGAAATATGAAAATTTGATTACTTGCTGGTTACTGTTTTAAATGAATACATTTGGGTTGCAGGTGATAGATACTTGAAACCATGGATCATCCCGGAGCCAGAAGTTATGTTCCTCCCTCGAGCGAAAGACGACGAATGCCTCGTTCTAGCCAGCGATGGTTTGTGGGATGTGATGACGAATGAAGAGGTATGCGACCTGGCTCGGAGACGAATCCTACTCTGGCACAAGAAGAACGGCGTCCCTTCGCCTTCTGAGAGGGGTGTGGGGATCGATCCTGCAGCCCAAGCTGCAGCCGAATACCTCTCGAACCGAGCACTTCAAAAGGGCAGCAAAGACAACATCACAGTAATTGTGATTGATTTGAAAGCTCAAAGGAAGAAGTTCAAGGCCAAATCATAACGACAATGACGATGACACGCCGTGTCATCCTTTTTAGTTGTACCATATTCTTGATTTATGAGACAAAGAACACGATATTAATGTTTGCCCGACTATTTTTCTTCGGGGCATTATGATATTAATGATATGAATGGGAAGGGAAAGTATATGCAGCATTCCGGATGTCGTGGCTCGACGTATTTGTTATAAGCTTGAGTCTTGACGAGTTTCTGGCAATGTAAATGCCTGCTGCTGCTGCTGCTGCAATGTGATAGAATAGGTGAAAGAAAGAAACTGGGAGACAGTTCCACGCTTATGGTGTATTTGATTTGTGTATCATTTCGTACTCTTGGTGCTTATGATAAAGAGTTAGCAGAAATTGGGGTGGTTGTTGTATGCTACTTGCTGCTCTTCACTTGTAGACTATTTTGCTTTCAAATTTCTAAATATTTCGGGTATTCCGATGTTTTTCAGCTGAACTCGAGCTTGGTTGACCTGAAAAAACGTTAATTTAACAGCGAGAAGGGGCGGACTTTCCTATGGTAGTCCCGCTACGGTTATGACCGTTCGTCCCGTCTCATCTTTCTTTCGCTATCCATCGTCTTGGATGAAATGGATTAATTTAATGTGTATTTTGTTCGTTACATTTGATAATCAAATCAAATCTATATATAATTGGGTATTGAAAATTAACATAAATGATGTAAATTTTGAAGCAAAGCAGGAAAATGAGCGTTGAATTGAAATGAGAATGTTATAGAAGGCGAGAGGACACTAAGCGATTTCGTTGGCTCAGAAATTTACAAAAACCGCCGCTTCTTCTCCGGCGGCCATTTTGATGGAGTGGTAAAATCTCAATCAATGGGCATCAAGCGAGAGAGTAAAAGGTCGGCTTCTGCAACTTCGCCGTGTGCTGATCTTAGGGCTGTATATCACAATTGTTTCAATCGGTATGTTTCCATTTTCATTCCCTAAACCCTTTCTGAACCCTAATTCGTTTGGACCTCGGTTTTGTTCAAGCGATTTCTGGTTTTGATTTGCAGTTGGTACTCGGAGAAGTTTGTAAAAGGTCAATTGGATGAAGAACCCTGCGTCTCCGAATGGCAGAAGTACAGAGCTTGCCTCTCTGTATATCTTCGAACTTTGTTTGATTCCTTCCTATTAGGTTTTGTCAATGTCGTTTGATTTCGTTGCGATCTGAGATAGCCTCCAAATTACAGGAGCATTTGGAAGATAAGAAGCTGAAGCGCTTCTTGGAAGAGGAAACGATTGTTCATTCCTCCATGAAAGCTGAAACGAGTTGAGAATCGAGATTGGCTTACTTGAATGGACATTTTGAGGTCTTCACGAACTTAAAAACCATGTTTAATGGCCATTTTCCATTCTTTGTTCTTCCACTGTGTTAGAACAAATGCAGTTTTTTTTGCTGCTCAAACTCTAGTTTATTTGAAAAAGCATCTGAACTTAGCTACATGATAGAAATTCAACTGGATCAGCTTAATAAGGAGATACGTGTTCTTGTTTAATACAAAAGTTGCTGTGTTCTATGGTGAGTTCTTCTTCTCCGTGCATATTTCACTTCCTTTACAGTAATCCTGCAGCCCACTTAGACGATCCATTGTTACATAACCAAAGAGTTTGTTCTTTTCTTTTCTAGTTTTTTAGGCCAATTGACGTCCGGTAGAAGCTCATTATTTGTAGTTTCTATGGTAGTTGTGTGAGATCGAAACGAAACATTCCTTAGAAAGGTGTAAAAATCTCTCCCTAGTAGACGCACTTTAAAATATTGAGAGAAAGCCCATAAAGAAAATCCCAAAGAGGACAATATCTGCTAGCGGTGTGCTTGAGCTGTTACAAATGGTATCAGAGCTAGACACCGAGCGGTGTGCTAGCGAGGACGCTGGTCCCCAAGAGGTGGATTGTGAGATCCCACATCGGTTGGAGAGGGGAATGAAGCATTTCGTATAAGGGTGTGGAAACCTCTCATAAGTAGACACATTTTAAAACTTTGAAGGGAAGTCTAAAGAGGACAATATCGGCTAGCGGTGCGGGGAGCTTAGGCTGTTATAAGTTCTGCTCAAGAAAATTGCAGAAGATTGGGGGTTGATATCTGCTATATGATACCTCTTTTGAAGAAACTCTGATTGGGTAATCTGAAAACGACATCAGAATGTGGCATAGTGGAGCAATATGCTGGGAGTGAGCTGCATTCATTTGCACCATTTCAGAGTCAAAGTGCAAAGTGAACTTGAGGATCATTGAAGGTGCAATCACATTCAAGGTGCACTCTCTCTGTTATCTGATTTAAGACCATTCATGCTTTGATTGCTATTGGGAAACTTTTCCTGTCATTGAAATGCTAAATTTTGCCTTCGTTTTACACTATCTTTTGGAAATTCAACTCATTTGGTATATCTGAATTATACTCTAAGATAGATTTGTAGTCATTAATTACATTGAATTTGGATATTGGATAGTCCTGTCCTATTATGCTTGGCTTTGAAGTTGGAAGCTTAAATTTGTATAGTCCTGTCCTATCTGATTTAAGACCCATTCTGTCAAAGTGTCTCCCTGGTGAAGTCCACTTGTCAGCTTAAAAAGACCTTAAAAAGACTTGCTGATTCTCCGTTACGTCTTAAGAAACTCATTCAACACAATCATACGCAAAAGAGAATTGCGATGACATGTGAGATCCTTCGAAGGGGGTGGATTGTAAGATCCAACAGCGAGGACGTTGGGACCCGAAGGGGGTGGATGTGAGATCCCACAGCAAGGATGTTGGGACCGAAAGGGTTGGATGTGAGATCCCACATTGGTTGGGGAGGATAATGAAGTATTATTTATAATGGTGTAGAAACCTCTCCTTTGCAGATGCGTTTTAAAAACCTTGAGGAGAAGCCCGAAAGAAAAGTCCAAAGAAGAAAATATCTACTAGCGGTAGACTTGGGTCATTACAAATTCCCTTATAAACTTATAAACTTTTAATCAAATGAAGTTTCATGATTGCATGGATGAAATTTATCTTAATATCGACATTCATATACAGATTAAAAGATGTCTTAGTTCATGTATTTTGGTCATTATATTACTTTTTGCTGCGGAAACTAAAAATATTATTGTAATTAGATTGTTGAAGGATCATCGTTTTATGTCTCTATTTTATTATATACTTTAAAAAAATTTAAAATTCTTATGTAAAATAGAAAAATAGAAAAAAAAAAGTGTAAAAAAACAATTTAAATAATAGGTTTTGAACCGATGCATGCATTATTTGTATACTCAAGAAAGAACAACTTATAAATATATTTTTTTATTTAATATATCTAAACTGTATTAAATATATATTTAATATCTTAAATATTAATATGACTTTTTAAATTAAATATATTTTCTTAATTACATAATATATTAAATATTAATTTGATAATGTGATAATGTGATTACACCTGCATTCGACTTAATTAACATCATTATTTTTAAATTAAAATTTGTTAAAATTAATCCTTAATTTATATAGTAGATTTGGAGAATGAGTGCATAATTTATTTTTAAATTAAAATTTGTTAAAATTAATTCAGTTTATATAGTAGATTGGGAGAATGAGTGCATAATTGAAATTTCAATCTGTTATAAAAAAAATACTAGAAACCAAAAAAAAATAAAAAATGGTAAAAGTAAACCACAATTGTAAATTTATAAAAAAAAAATTAAAAAGGTAAAATTAAACCACAATTGTAAATTTATCATTTTGTGTGAGTGCAAGTATACATTCTTCTTATCAATTAATTTTAATCAACTAAAAATAGAAAATTAAAAATGAAATTTAAGCCTATAATTAGGTTGCATTTGATTATGACCCTATCATATTTTATATCAATTAATTTTAATCAACTAAAAATTAAAAATTAAAAATGAAATTTAAGCCTAATAATTAGTAAATTAATTCGAAAGAATTAGAAAAGGGTTGTTCTTGAAGTTCCAGAAATAAGAGAATTAAGAATATCCCAAAAAAAATTAATCAAATCATATAGATGAACCTGAAAATACAACATTTTTGTTTGCCGACTAACCCCAAGAGAAGCAAATGCAACGAGCACATTAACCAGTAAGATTATTGAAGTAATAAAAAAAAAATCAATTGAGAAGCAATTATCATACTTCTAATCCTCTTTAAAAAAATATACTATTTGATTCCGTAACTAGTCAGCTTAATTTTTTATATAATCTACTATATTTTACTATTTTATATAATATATATTAATTCTATATATATATATATTTTTAATAATCTCTTATTAAGTTACAAAAAAAAAAAAATAAAATGATTTGGATATAATATTATTAAAAAAATAAAAAATTAATAAATTTAAATATCTAATATCTTAACCTATAATATCTTATTTAAATTATATTTAAAAATCAAAATATAACAATATATTTAATTAATTTAAAGCTTATATAAAATTATATAAAATTAAATTGAGAGAATATCTAATATGTAACCTATACAATTTAACTAATTTTAAATTTTTTTTTGTAAACTAATGTATTTAAATATTTAATATATATAAATAAGTTAAACGGAGTATACTAAATGTTGATTTCTTAAAATAATCCACTTAAAATGAAAATTATATGCTTTATAAATAACAAATTCATAATAAAAAATCATAAAATAATAGCAAACTCGATAATAAAAAATAAAAAAGTGTAATAAAAAAAATAATACCAAACATTAATCAAAGATCAAATTAAACAAACTTTATTCTGACTTCCGTGCTCCATTTCTTGAATCTTTACAAGAAAAAGTGAAGATTCAAGAAACGGACCATGGGAGACACGGTGCGCTTGTTCAATTTACTTAAATAAAATATTCCTACACGAAACATTCCTCGTGAATAGTTGTAAATAAGCATATCACAATCATTCACTAGAACAGTTTCATGTGAAACAAATTAAACAAACTTCATCCTGACTTCCGTGCTCAGTTTCTTGAATCTTCACAAAAAGAAGAAGTGAAGATTCAAGAAACGGAGCATGGGAGACACGATGAGATTGTTCACTTTGCTTAAATATAATATTCCTACAAGAAACGGTCATCATGAGGTTGTGAATCATATCACAATCATTCAAAGACTAAAAAAATGTGTACAATAAATAACCAATGTTTGAAAAGAGACACTTCTCTCGCACTAGAAATATGCAACAAATTCGAGCAACCAAATTTATAAGTAAAAAAAATCATTCGAATGATGGAAAATTATATGATTGAAAATCAACCAAATTTATATGTAAAAAAATATTATTCAAATAACAGGAAATTATATAATTGAAAATCATTGTATGTAGCTTCTACTCCATATGATTTCTGGTAGCAAAATAAGTAAACACTCTTAAAATAATAAATAAGTTAAACGGAGTATACCAAATGTTGATTTTTAAAATAATTCACTTAAAATAAAAATAATATGTTTTATAAATAACAAATTCATAATAAAAAATCATAAAATAATAGCAAAATCGATAATAAAAAATCAGAAAGTGTAATAAAAAAAAAATAATAGCAAAAATTAATCAAAGATCAACTTAAACAAACGACTTCTGTGCTCTATTTCTTGAATCTTCACTTCTTTTTGTAAAGATTAAAATAATGTGTACAATAAATAACCAATGTTTGAAAAGAGACACTTCCCTCGCACTAGAAATATGCAACAAATTCAAACAACCAAATCAAAATAATATACTTGAATTGTTTAACTCAAATATATAACTAAATCATAATCATTCAACCTATCATAAATCTTATTCAAACCCAAACTAAATAAAATAATAAAGCAATAGGAAAATGATAAAAGAATTGCTATAATAAAAAATAAAAATAAAAAAAAGGATAACAAAATGAAATAAAATAATATAAAAAGTCGTAACAAAAATATATATATAATATAAAAAAAAGGGTAAAGTTAGGTTTTAAATTAATGCAAACTAATTATTTGAAAATACTCAAAACCAACCATGAATCAATATTTATGATAATACAATAAAAATATTGGTAAAAAGGAATTCGTTTTTAGCCCGCCCAAAACTTGAACCAAACTTATTTAATTTCAGAAAATTAATCAAACCCAACTCGAAATGCATTAAATGTACATCCCTCACAATAACACAATCAAATAAAAAAATGGATGGATGCTTTTAAATGACTCCGATTACACTATTAATATTCATTCTCAAACATGGAAACCTATTATAATGAAAAGAAAACTACTTACCTTCTTTTGCAGAAATTGTAAGTACTGTGTATTGTACATCTTCTTCGATATAACTCAATTGCAAAGATTGTGGTAGTCTAAATTAAACACTTCCATACCGGTATTGGAGGGACAATTTCAAAATTATGGATTACAATTTTGTCAACCCAATAATATTATTTATAGAATTTTAAAAAATCTTAACAAAATAATTATTTGAATTAAATGAATTTTAAATTTATAGAATCTTATAAAAAAAATATATATATATTTGAATTATAATATTTTATTTCTAACTCTATATATTTAACTAATTTAAATCTTATTTTAAATTTTATATATTTAATTAATTTAAATTTTATTTAAATTTAGTTAAATGTTATATAAATTTTAAATTTAAAGAATTCTAACAAAAATGATATAATATCTTATTTCAATTATATACATTTAAATCTTATTTAAATTTTGATTTTAAAGAATCTTATCAAAATAATATATTAGAATAGATAAATTAAGATATAGTATCTTATTTCAATATTATATATTTAACTAATTTAATTTTTATTCAAATTTTAGAGAATCTTTTTCGATTTTAAATAGAAGAATCTTAACCAAATAATATATTTAAATATCTAATATATTAACTCAATGATCATTCCTTAAATTAGATTATTTACTCGTCTCTCTAGGCAAAGTATAAATTGGTTTGGAATAATGAGATTTTTATGATAGGAGAAAGTTTCTATACCTTCTAAATAGTGTTTTGTTCTCTTCTCGAATCTGTAAAGGTTTGGGAAGGTTTCCTCACCCGTGTTTTATTCTTTTCTCCAACGAGGGAAGATTTCCCTCTCAATTAATGTAGACATCCCAATAAATTTTGGGAAAATTGAAGGATAGATACCAAAAATATTTCAAGATTTGGAACTTAGATGAATTGTCTTATAGCTTATTTAAGCGAGCAATTTGTTTTTTATTTTTGGTAATTATCTTATATTTTCCTTTAATTATTTAATTATAGATATCCTTTCATTATTTTTTTTTGCAACCCTATGTATTTATAGCTTTAATTTCATAGTATAATGAAGTTATTTTATACTTTATAATTACTACAGCTATCCTAATAACCTTTTTATTTTTTTGATCCATAAATTTAATTCAATTTAACTAAATAAACACATAAAATACGACTTTTATTAAAAAAATAAAAGAGAAAAATGAGGATTTGTAAATCGCATGGAA